CCCCTGCGAGGGACCCCAGGCTGCAGCAGGACAAGGATTCCTGGCCCTCAGGGGGAGGCAGTGACATGACCTGACTGTGACCCCCATCCCTGTGCCTCTGGGCGGGGAGGGGGCGGAGAGGGGCACAAAGTTAAGCCCGGGAAGGAGGGACAGCTGGGGGGAAGATGCATTTCCGTAAGAATTACTTCTCTTCTCGTTTTCTTGTTCTGATACGTTTGGCAATAAATTCAATTAATTTTCCCAAGTCAGGTGTGCTGTGCCCGTGACCAAGGATTGAACTGTCCCCACCCTCATCCCGACCCCCGAGCCTTTCCTTGAGTGTTCTGCTCCCCGCCCGGGACAGGAAGGAGAGTCACAGAGTTTTGGCCTCTTTCCGCCATGCCCTGCTCCATCCCGGACTCACCCCCAGCTCGCAGCGCCCTCAGCTCCCGGGCAGGAGGCCAAGGAAGCGCCGCTGTGCTGAAGCGCCGGGAGCTCGGGGTGCCCGGGAGCTGAGGGCGCTGCGAGCTTGGGGTGAGTCCGGGATGGAGCAGGGCATGCCGGAGCGAGGCCAAAACTCTGTGACTCTCCTTCCTGCCCCGGGCGGGGAGCCGAACACACAAGGAAAGGCTCGGGGGTCTGGATGAGGGTGGGGACAGTTCAATCCTTGGTCACGGGCACAGCACACCTGACTTGGGGAATTAATTGAATTTATTATTCAGACGTATCAGAACAAGAAAACGAGAAGAGAAGTAATTCTTACGGAAATGCATCTTCCCCCCAGCTGTCCCTCCTTCCCGGGCTTAACTTTGTGCCCCTCTCCGCCCCCTCCCCGCCCAGAGGCACAGGGATGGGGGTCACAGTCAGGTCATGTCACTGCCTCCCCCTGAGGGCCAGGAATCCTTGTCCTGCTGCAGCCTGGGGTCCCTCGCAGGGGCCAGAGTCCCTCAGGACCAGGCTGCTCCAGCGGGGATGGCCAGGGGGATCCCCGAGTCCGGCCAGGAGCCACTTGCATGGCTGTGCAGGGGCTTCTGCCGGGCTCGGGGCCTCTCTCAGGCACCCCCTGCTCCGGCCCGGCCTCATTGCCCCCCTCACCCCCCATGCAGCGAGTGCCGGGGCAGGGAGATGCACGATTTTCACGGGGCTGAATCTTGGTGTTTTCTGAGCTTTATTGGGCTAAATGTTGGAGTTTTGTTTTTTTGTGGGGGCTGCATCTTTCTATTTTGAGGGGATATCAGATTTTTTGTGTTTTGGAAGTTTTTGATCTGTTTTGATGTTTGGAGGATGTTTGTGCTGAATCTTGGTGTCCTGGAGGTTCTTCCAGACACAAGCTGCCCAATGACTTTCTGGGATGAACTTGTGCAAGGAGGAACCCCCTAGCCCAAGGCACTCTCCTCTTGTTTTTTCCCCCAAACCCGGATTTTTCATTCCTAAGCCGTGGCTGGATGGAGGAGAAGGAAAAGCCCCAGAGATCCCACACAAGGAGGGTCTGCAGACCCAGCCCAGGGAGCTGCGGGGAGGAAGGATCCCCCCTATGCCAGGAAGGTGGCTGGGCATCCAGCCTGAGCTCAGAGCTGGGGGAGAAGCCTCATGGTGGGCAGAAGCCCCACAAGTGCTTGGAATGTGGGATGGGATTCAGAAAGAGCTCCTACCTGCGCCGGCACCAGAGCATCCACACTGGGAAAAAGCCCTACGAGTGTGGGGAATGTGGGAAGAGCTTCAGTGACCTCTGCAACCTGATGCATCACCAGAGGAGCCACACAGGGGAACGGCCCTACACCTGCTTGGAATGTGGGAAGAGCTTTGGGTGGAGCTCCAATCTGAGGACACACCAGCTCATCCACACTGGGGAGAGGCCCTACAAGTGTCCCGAGTGTGGGAAGAGGTTTAAGCGCAGCTCCCATGTCCTCCTACATGAGCGGATTCACACAGACGAGAGGCCCTTCCGCTGCCCCGACTGCGGGAAGGGCTTCAACCGCAACACCCACCTCACTCTCCACCGGCGCATCCACAGTGGGGAGAGGCCCTACGAGTGTCCCCAGTGTGGGAAGAGCTTCTCACAGAGATCTAACTTGACCCAACACCAACGGAGGCACCAGTAAGGGAAGCCCTGCGAGTGCCCTGAGTGCGGGAAGAGCTTCGTGCGCTGCTCCAGCTCCATCCCCCATGGGAGGATGGGCGTTGGATGATCCCCAGTGACCCCCGTTGGGCAGAGCCCTGGTGATCCGTGGTCCTGGTGATCCATGTTGGGAAGACACCTGGCTTCCTGGGAGGCTGCACATCTTCCTGGCTCCCTGTGGACACCTGGATGAACACCAGAGCAGGAACATCCATTGGGACACAGACATAGGGAATTCCTTTGGGAGAGCGGATTTGTTGATTTTCAAGGAAAAAATGTATTTTGCTTTCAGTCCAGTCTTCTACTGCCATCAAGGAATACTTGGAGATCTTTTCTTACCTCAGTCAAGGGTGTTTTCCTCAGCCAAATGTTGATGAACTGGGGCAAAGACCAAGATTTTGGAGGTAGTGGTGTGGAAAGCCCTCCAAAAAATGCTCTTCCCTCCCACCCAGGCATGTGGGTCCTCAGCTGGTAGAGACACAAAAATCCTTTCCTTTTGGCTTTGATTTGCTTTTGATTTTTCTTTATCCTTTCAAAATATCTAAGTTCAGATTAAAATAAAGACATTGATGTAAGACACAGGTGGGGACATTGAGGGACATAGACATGGTGGGCCATGGACATCGAGAGTGACATGAGGACACATGGACAGGGATGGGGACATGGCCATTCATGGGGACATGGGGAGACACTGGCACAGATGGAGACGTGGGGGGACAGTGCCAGGATGGAAACATGGTTGGGACACAGCCATGGGTGACGGCATGGTGGGCCATGGCCAGTGATATGTGGGGACATGGCCATGGGCACTGCCATGGGGGGAACTTGCAGGGGCTGTGGGGGATGCTGGGTTTGAGGGAGTTGAGGGTTCCTGGCAGGGACTTGGGGCTTGCTGAGGGCTTTGGGGAGCCCAGGCTGAGCGGCTGCGGCTGCGCTGGGAGCCCCTGGCGGAGGTTCTGGGGCAGCTGCTCAAGGACCCCCTGGCCTGGAGCCCCAGCTGGGCATTGGGCTCCTGGAAGGGAATGAACGTCCTTGTGCCCAGGAGGGAAATCCCAGCACCCCCAGGGTGTGGGGGGCAGCTGAGAGGCCACAGCAGGGAGGGGAAAGCCAGACAGAGCTGTTCCACTCCAGAACTGCACCCCAAAAATCCCCAAACTCAGGAATTGCTCCCAAGAGGAAGCTGCCAGGATCTGCTTGAATTGAGTGAAAGGGGGGAGGGGAGAGGTGGGGTGGTGGATTGGTCGGCAGTGGGGCAGGGGTGGAGGAGCAGGGGAAAAGAGGGGCATGGGAGCCCCATATTGGGTTTGGATGAGTCTTGCTCCTCCTTCATCCCACCTCCTTCTCCTCTCTGGCCCTTTTTCTCTTCCTCCATCTCTTCTTCTGGTCCCCCCGAGCCCAGTGCCCACCCTTGGATCCCCTTTTTTCCAATTCTTTCACATCCCATAGGAGGAGCCAGGATGGAGCCGGGGCAGGCCGGGCTGGGGCAGCACTGGGCTCTTGCCATGGTCCAGGTACCACCCATGCACCCCCTCCCCAAATTTCCCTGGTGGCTTCAGGGGTCCCAGTGCTCTTTAGGGTTTGCTGGGTGGCCATGCTGGAGTTAGGTGTCTCCAAAGGAGTCCCCAGAACAGGGTGACAGATGGAGGAGGACACACGGGGGTCCTGATCCAACCTGGGGCAGCATCTGTCCCTGACAGGGTACCCCCATGGGGTCTCCCCAAGTCCCTCCCCACTGCCCCCCATAAACGGGACAGGGGCGAACTGGGAAGCTTTACTGGGAACACTGGGAGCAGCCGGGCAAGGGCAGAGTCACAGCAGGGCTGGGGACACACACGACCCCTCCAAAATCAGCCCAGGGATGGAGCGGGGGATGCTGGCTGGGCCTGAAGCCATGGGGAGGGGCTGCGGCTGCCAGCGGCTCAGGAGCTCTGTGGGCAGAGAAAAGGGGGTGACACTGGGCTGGGGGCCCTGGGGGAGCACACACGTTCCGGGAGAGGGAGAATATGACCCCCAGGACCCCCCCTCACCTTCTTGTGTAGGCAGAAGCTGAGCCCCAGTGCCAGGAAGACGAAGCCCAACATGGAGCCCTCGATCCATATCAGCATCTTCCTGCGGGCAGCAGCATCTCTGGGAAGTCTGCAGGGGTCGGGATCCCCCCTAAAACCTCTCACAGACACCCCAAGCCCTTCCAAGCACCCTTCCACTCTCACCCACCCCACCCAGGACCTCTGAAACCTCCTCCCAGTCCCTTCCCAGCCTCCCCAGGATCCACCAAAGCCCCTCCTGTCCCTATCAGGATCCCACAGCCCCCTCCCAGATGCCCCCCTGGACAATGCCCTGCCCCTGGACCTCCAAACCCTCTCCCAGTTCTTTCCCAGCCCCACCAGGACTCATCAGGATCCCTCTCAGTCTCTTCCCAGCACAATGAACCTCATCCCAACCCCTGCTTTCCAATCTCCAGTCTCCTTCCAGCCCCTCCAGGCTCACTCAAATCCCTCCCAGTGACACCCAGCACCCCTAAACTCCCTCCCAGTTTCCACCAGGACCCCCAGAACCCCATCCCACCCTCCCCAATAACCTTTGATCCCCTTCTCAGCCATTCTTGGCCCACAAACCCCTCTCCCAGTTTAAATCAGTCTATCTCAAACTCCCTCCCAGTTACTCCCAGTGTCGCTCTATTGGGAACGGTGAGAAGAACAACACAGACTCTCTTGTGAGTTGAACAGGAGAGCTCTTAAGGTTTATTACCTCAGATCTTTTTTATAGACCAATACATGAAAGTATAGAAAGGTAAAACTTATTGGTCAGTGAACTAACACATCACCATCATTGGTCAGTGGGGTACACCACCCCTCG